TGATAAGGAAATTCCAAAGGGGGCTCTGCTTCCTCACTCCTCCGAGTTTGCAAAGCTGATTTACATGGCCCTGTGACCTGCAGGACAGTTCTGTCTTGTTTTATGGCATGTGACTTGGGTGCTGGAAAGTTCAAATGAAGTTTTTCGAATCCTTTTGGGCATCTGTGTCGGTCCATATCCTACAAATGATACACGAGGCCTCTTTTGACAACTCTGCAAAAAGAAAAAAGTTTTAAGCACATAAAATAGGATTGTTTTCATCCTTGAAGAAGCTGCACAGAGCTGCTGCAGAGAAACACATCACTGGACAGTTTTCCATTTCAGCAACATGATGAACATTCAACACTATCATCAACATGGAAACACTCGTCTCTTCAAGACTACCAACATCTTTTATTGAGCCTCAGCAGAAGCTGCTTCTCAGAGTTCTCTGAATGAAGACGGGCTTTTTGGGTCTGAACATCAGTCCTGCAGTGCTCAACAGCCTCTGGCAGGCAGCTGAGGCAGGAAGGGCTGTGTTGAGCTTCACTGCTGGGAAACATAAAGACGTTTGTTGTTACGTCTTCTACGTCATGTCGTCATCCACAGAGGCTGAAACAAGTAACGAGCCAGTTTTAAGAATGTAAGGAGTAGAAAGTACAGATGTTTGTGTTCAAATGTAGGGAGTCAAAGTAGAAAGTCGTCAGAAACATGAATACTAAAATCTATTTAAGTACAGTAATTACAATCAAAGCAAGTACTAATTACAAACTTGGAAGGTAATTTTTATTTGTTCACTTTTTTGTTCCAGCACATGAACTCAGGATCGTGTTGTTTGGAAAAAATGACGACGAAAAGGCAGCACTGGGAAACATCATTGTTGGGAAGGAGGCGTTTTCTGTCCCAACATTCTCTGGAGGAAAACGGTGTGAAGCTGCTCGTGGAACGTGGAACAAGAAACCTTTAACAGTAGTGAAAACTCCAGACGTCTTCAGTCTGTCTGTGGACACAGTGAGAGAAGAGATGAAGAGATGTGTGAGTCTCTGTCCTCCTGGACCAAATGTTCTGCTGCTGTTAGTGACACCTTCAGATTTCACTGAAGACAACAGAGAAACTCTGAAGCTCATCCTGAGTCTGTTTGGTGAAGATGCCTTCAAACACTCCATGGTCGTCATGACACAGAACGAGGACGGGCAGAATCAGTCGATGGAAAAACTCCTCAAAGACTGCAGACAAAAGCAGCACAGCATCAATCTTGATGAAAAGGATCCTTCAAGTCCTGACAAACAAGAGTTAATGCAGAAAATAGAAACCATAGTGAGTGACCACAGGGGAGGATATCTGACACTGACTGAAGAAGCTGATCAGACAGTGATGAAGAGGTCCAAACCTCCTCTGAACCTGGTCCTGTGTGGTACAAGAGGACCTGGGAAGACTTCAGCAGTCAACGCTATCCTGGGACCAACAAGGCCTGGTCCACCTGCCGACTCATCAGAGTGTGTTAAAGCCCAGGGAGAGGTGTGTGGACGTCGGGTTTCCCTGCTGGAGCTGCCTGCCTTGTATGGAAAACCTCAGGAGGCAGTGATGAAGGAATCCTTCAGGTGTATCTCCCTCTGTGATCCTGAGGGCGTCCATGCCTTCATCCTGGTCCTACCTGTGGGTCCCCTCACTGATGAAGACAAGGCAGAGTTACAGACCATCCAGAACACGTTCAGCTCTAAAGTCACAGACTTCTCCCTCATTCTGTTCACTGTGGAGTCAGATCCTACAGCTCCAGCTGTTGTTGACTCTATAAGACAGAACAGAGACATCCAGGAGCTCTGTCAGAGCTGTGGAGGAAGATCTGTTGTTGTCAACATGAAGGACAAGCAGCAGATCCCAGAGCTGCTGGATCAAGTGGACCAGATGAGACGGTCAGAACCTCACAGCTACACAACAGCAACATTTGCTCGTGGTCAAAGTGAAAAGATCCGAAAACTAGAGGCTGAAATCAAGAAACTGAAAAAACCTGATGTGGTCACCTGTAAGTATTTCACTGTTTGATCTGATTCTCCTAAACTCTGTTCTACACAAAGTTCATACTTTAAATAACTCTGTGTTGTTTCCCAGCTGATGAAGAGCAGCAGAGCTCAGACAGTCTCAGGATTGTGCTGATTGGGAAGACTGGCAGTGGAAAGAGTTCTTCAGGAAACACCATTCTGGGAAGAAAAGAGTTCAGAGCCAAATCCAGTCAGATTTCAGTCACCAAACAGTGTCAGAAGTCAGCAGGTGAAGTGGACGGACGTCCTGTTGTCGTGGTCGACACTCCTGGACTGTTTGACGACAGTTTGTCTCATGATGAAGTTACTGAAGAGATGGTGAAGTGCATCAGTCTTCTGTCTCCAGGACCACATGTCTTCCTGCTGGTGCTACAGATCGGCCGACTCACACCAGAGGAGAAGGAGACATTAAAACTCATCAAAGAAGTTTACGGAAAGAATTCAGAACCGTTCACCATCATTCTTTTCACCAGAGGAGATTCACTGGAGAGGGATGAACAGTCTATTGAGGATTACATAAAAAAAAAGTGTGATGATTCCTTCAAGAAGCTGATCTCTGACTGTGGAGGAAGATACCACGTGTTTAATAACTATGGAAAACAAAACCAAAGACAAGTCAGTGAGCTGATAACAAAGATCGACACCATGGTGAAGGAAAATGGAGGAAGCTGCTTCACCAACGAGATGCTGCAAGAAGCTGAAGCAGCGATACAGAAAGAAATGGAGAGAATCCTGAAGGAGAAGGAAGAAGAGATGAAGAGAGAGAGAGAGGAGCTGGAGAGAAAACATGAGGAAGAAATGGAAGCAATGAAAAGAAGAATAGAAGAAGAGAGAAAAGTGAGAGAAAAACAACTCACAGAAATGGAGGAAAACATTAAGAAGGAGCGTGAGGAGAGAAAGAAAGAACAGAAAAATCAAGAAGATGAAAAGAAGAAAAAGAAAGAGCAGGAAGAAAGTCAGAGACAACAATGGGAACAAGAACGAGAAGATTTGGAGAAAAAAATCAAGTCAGAATCACAGGAAAAGGAGATCATTGACAGAAAACTGGAGGAGAGTAGACAAGAGATGAAAGAAAAACAAGAAATCTGGGAGAAGAAACGAGAAGAATGGTGGAAAAACAGACGTCAGGAGGATGAACAGAGACGTCAGGAGGAACAAAAAAACCAGAGAAAGCTTCAAGAACAATACGAACAAGAGAGACAAAGATATGAAAACCAAAGAAAAGAACAAGATGAAATCAGAAGACAACAAGAGGAGAGAGAGAGAAAAGAATTAGAGGAAAAGTACAAGAAAAACATGGAGGACATGAAGAAGAGCCATGAAGAAGCAGCAAGAAAACAAGCTGAAGAGTTCAATGAGTTCAAAGAGAAATACAGCAAAGACTTTGAAGCTCTGATAGAAAAACACAATGAGGAACTGCAGGATCTGAAGAAACAGCATGAAGCAGAAATACAACAGCAACAACTACAGTACCATTTGTTAAAGACCCAGTCAACTCGCAAGACAAAAACACTCAAAGATGACATAGAGAGAAGAGAAGAAGAGAAAGAAAAACAACGTAAAGAACAGGAGGACTTGAAGAAAAAGCAAGAACAAGAAATAAAGGACTTGAAGAGGAAATATAAAAAGAGATGCACCATCTGCTGATTATCCCTCCAATCATTCAGTCATCACTGAACACGATGCTACAGACGTCATCACTTAACTCCACCACGTACGCCATAAAGGCTCAGTGTCTGATTACCTTTGGTCGGCAGTGTATAACATAAGATGGTTGGAAGTACCAGGAATGAAGGCTCACAAAAGCCTGTATGCTTTATGAGTTGTTTTGTGCAGACTGGTGCCGTGCGAGTTAAGTTCCACTCTCAAAATGGAGAACTATTTTTGCTCTTAGACGTTGGTATCCAGATCATTTTTGTTTTAAACATTCTGCAGTTCAAGTTATGTTTCACTTGAAAGTTTTGTTGAGTTCCCACGATGTTGTTCTTCAATGCAGGATAACATTCTAATAATGTTTGGTGATAACACTGTTGGACCACTACGCTCTCATGTTCTTCCAACGTTTTCCAAATGTTCTTGCTTCTTTTGTTGTCAGGAATGTTTTATAGAAGAGTGTTACTTCAACAACATTCCTAAAACATTCTCACAATGTTGCATCTGTGGTAATGTACTTAGAATTCATTTATAATGTCACATTACAGGAACATTCTGTAAAAGGCCTCAACATCTGGAAACTTTTTGTTGTTGTTTTCAGAACTCTTCCTTTGTTATTGTGGAACATAATTTGTGGCATCTTTAACATTTACTGAATGGTGCACTTCATGGCTGTGTTCCAAGTCAGAGTACTTCGAAGGACGCCAAGGCTGCATCTGAGCATTTGTTAAAGGACACGGTCTAACCAACGACGGACTTCTTGTTGCCTTGTCACGTCCAGTGGCACTGCTCCTGTTGCCTAGCAACCTGGACTGTCAAACTTTTATCCCAAGGATGAGGATAAGACAACATTGTATATTTTATCAAATTCTTTGACTGAAATTGTGATTTTTGTTTATACTTGAAGAACTTGAGTTGCTTGTACTGTACAGTTGGACTGGATGAAACTGTCTGAAAAACAAGAAGGTTCAGAGCTTGTTAAAATTCGTCAACATTCAAACTAATATGAACTTTTATTATAAAATCGGCACAATCTCTGCAAAATGTAAGTTAAACACTGAAGCTGTTCCTCCCGCATGCACAGAAGAGGACACGACGACGTCACACGCAGCGAGCGTGCTCAGTGTTTATGGAAGTAAACATGGATGGTAACGGTGGAGCGTATCTGCCACTCCCCCGCCGCCACCGATGGAGGAAACAGAAGTGTGAGCGCTAACTAAACTAGCATCAGCAGCCAAGTACTGCCTGTGTGTTCTGGACACTTCCACCCCATCAGAGCGCTGCCCCGGGGTGGAAGTGTCCCCCGACCGCACCGAATATTCATCATTAATTGGATCTGTGTTGTTCAGGCTGTCATGAAAACACCAGATACAGTTCACATAGGAGAAAAAAAAATCGGATTTGGCTCAATCAGCCTGCTGCCTGAACGTATTTACCTTTGATGTCAACCGACGGGCCGTGCACAAGTGCACCTGTCAATTAGGCGTGAAACCCAGCGATGCGTAGTGTTCTAACAATACACTGGTTATTATAACAACTATAAACAATAAATGTTAACAACTAATGAGCCTTCCAGCATCAAGCCCTCCTCGTATCTGGACCGCCGTCTTGACAATCCGACAGCCTTGATATCCAACAAAAAAGAAGGTTTTACATTTAGTGCCGGATTATCGAGTCATGACTGTATTTTCTTATGCTTGTGGGTTTTATTATTTGTTCTGCATTTAAAAATGTTGGCAGTTGCTACTGTGGTTCCAAGCCTCTTTTGACTGAGTAAACAGAGTAGAAAATCCTGCAATCCTCAGAAATATATATTCTAAAATTAAAGTGAGAAAATGGTTGATGAATGACTGTTTGTTTTGTTTTCTTATATTTTTGTCAAGTTGAAAAATGTGATTTAATATCAACAATTCAGCTTCACGTTGAGACTTTTTCACTGTATAATATAATCAACACCAGAGTGACACAATGAGGAAAACTGTTCCCACTGACATTAATTGTGCATTAATCTGGATTAGACTGGATTTTGAACCAGACACTTGTTTTGTCAAAAAATAAAAGACAAAAAGAAAAATATGTGACTATGATTTGTTTCATAATTAAGATTGTAGCTTTACTAATACATTTAAAAACCTAGTAGGTCATTGAACTGATCTTAAAGTGAATAAGACTTAAAGGTTATCAGTCTTCCAGTTCAGGTAACACAACACACTCTGTATTTCCCATTAACGTGTGTGTTGTGTCTCTATGGTTCATGCAGACGTTGCACTCTCCACCTCTGTTGTACAGATTCAGGGAAACGAGGACAAAGCAGCATGAATCAGGGTAACAGACATGAGCTGCCTGCAGCTTTCCACAGACAGATTTTTACAACAATCGTTTTCAACTTGAGGAACATGCTCACTTTCAGTCACTGATACACGAAGAATATGGACGGTAAATATCGATACAGAAATAAACAGTAGATAGAAGAGAAATATGGAGCTCAAAATGGCACATGAGAAGTGCAACTACTGATGAAAATGAATAGAATATATGAATGAAGGCAGATCAATTGAAGGGTCAACAACAATATGCCCATCTTTGCCTGTTTGTCTCTGGAGCTGACTTGAATTTGCCTCCAGGCATCCAAGACACGGTGAGTAAGAACATGGTGGTGCTGATTCTGCCCTGTGATTCACCGAAAAGCTAAATTTCTTAACACAACTCAAACTTAAGGAAAGTTACACACAAAGGCAAAAAGAGGAAGACAACAAAGGAGCAAAGTTTGAAATGTGCACACATCTGACATAAACAACTCATTTATCGCCCCAAAACCTGAAATAAATGTGGTGACAACTATTTCAAAAAATGTAAACATTTATGAAACATCCAGAGAAACACACTTTGTAGTTCATTGCTGTCTCTAATGAGGAAAACTGTGAAAACATGACCAAACCAGTGTGAACACACGGCACTAATATAAGCTGAATCCATCTAAAGCACTAAATATCCTGAAGCTAAAACACCAGCCTGCAGGGACTCAGTCTTACCGGCTGCCTGTGAGTCAAAGCGAAGGGCACATCAGCGTCCCAAAGGATGGACAATCCCAGCAACTGGCAGCAGACCATCAGCGATCTGGGATGGAACGACATGCAGACGATGAAAAAACAACTCAAAGGTTTGATTAAATACCTGCAACATCCAACCTGCTGTCAGTCAGCAAAAACATGCATTAATCAACCATCCAGCTGTGAGCAGCGCCCCACTCTGCAGCACCACCTGCACCACTACTTTTTACTGCTGTGTGCTACAGTCATGAGGAAATACACCCTGAGACTTTCTGCAGCGCCTTCACC